TTGCAGGAGGCCGTCACTGCCAAAAATGGAGCTCGGGAGCCCGTTTTCACTGGCAGAGCTCTCGGGCTGCCACAGGCACCCCCAACACGAGTGATGTCGAGCTGGCCACGCCCATCCCAGTCCTTCCAAGAAAAAATACAACCCTGATGTGACCCCAATGACATCGAGTTTGACACCCCTGATCTACAGGGACGTAACTTGTAATTATAATGGACTCTTCTGGATTTCCCTTCCAGTAGGCACAGCTGGCCAGGGTGAGGAGCCATCGAATATTTAGGCATGGTTTCATAGTTGAGGTAACTTTCTGGTTTCCACATAGGGGCAGAGTGCTTAAGAGAAGATGCTTAGGCAAGGAGGCTGAGCTATCTTGTCATTCTGCATCTAATATATGAGTTTATCTTTCTGCCTGCCTGATGATAGGTTAGCATGTGTAGGGTTTCCCCAGGCAATCTTAATTAATGGAGTTTGTTTTCCATTATTACTCTCCAATGTGTGATGGAGTTATTGCCTAGTGCTGTCCGAAGACGTCTCCGTGGTCATGTGCCCAGCATGACTAAATGCTGAAGGCTCACAGAACATTGTTACCTTCCCATCAAAGGTGGTTCCTATTTTTCTACTTGCATTTTTACATGCTTTCGAACTGTTAGGTTGGCAGAAGCTGGGACAAGTAATGGNTGCCCCCAACAATCTGGATCCTCATTTTACCCACCTTGGAAGGATGGAAGGCTGAGTCAACTTTGAGCCTGGTAAGATTTGAACTGCCAAATTGCAGTCAGCTGGCAGTCAGCAGAAGTAGCCTGCAGTACTGCACTCTAACCACTGCACCACCTCGGCTCTATATATACCTATATATAGAGCTGAGGCTCTATACCTATATACAGGTAGCCCTCAACTTACAACCACAAATGCAACTGGGATTTTAGTTGTTGAGTGAAGCACTCGGAGACCGACCACATGACTGCTTCTCTCAACCAATCCTGGAACTCCCCGTAATGATTGTTACGTGATTTTATGGGTCATTAAGTGGCCAGAGTCCCAGGTAAGGAGTGTGGGGTGACTCAGGAGGAAGGCCAATGTAAATCTGGACCATTAGTACATAAACTGCCTTTAAGTCAAGGACTATCTACACACAGACAAGATTTTAAATAAACCTTTGGGCCATAAATGTACTTCTCTTTTTAGCTTTATGCCATTATCAGATATTCACTCGCTCCTTTAAAAAGGGAATTAGGCAAAGGTGAGCAAAAGAATGGGTTTACAGTCGTTGGAGTGGAATTCTCTAGGGATCATATTCACAGCATAAAAAGGTGTAAATGATATTCCCCAACAGTAAAATATGCTTACGAGGCCCCAGTGCCCGATAGACTTTTATAACCTGCCATGAAGTGCATGACTGCCTTAATAAGCAAGACATTTAGAAAAAAAAGATAACTATGTTGTATAATCTGATGAAATTCTTCACCTGTTTTGCCTTTAATCCAAATTTATTTATTTCATTTTTATTGAGTTAGGTATGAAAACTTGTATGCCGCCTATCTTGCCCCGAGGCGACTATCCTGTGTGAACAATGTTTGGATGTTGTTGTCCCTTTGTTCCATATTTGGAGTCACAGAGGGAAAATAGAACCAGAGTGGGAAGGGGGAACTTTTAACCTTCATGTCTCTTTCTTAGCACCCCAATCAACACAGCATAACGAAAGCATCCCCAATTCTGGATTTTGTTAAAATATTTTTCATGACTGGGAGAGACATGGGAACAAGGTCAGCCAGTGAATAGGCATAGCAACTAAGTCAGCCAATGGGAGCTTAAACAGATCTGAGTCTGTGCAGAGAATTGAANTCTTAGCCACTGAGCCACCATGTCTTTGAGCTTCTAGGGACCCAGAATATTTGGAATATTTGCCCTAAAAACTTAGACTGAACTTTCTCTAAAGGGGCAACATTAAGGTACAGTTCTACCTGGCCACTATATGATAATTGAGGAATTACTCTGGTTGAGTAGAGTTTTGTGGCTTCTGGGATGAAAAAGGCACCAGATGTTTGATGCAACCCTATTGTATTGTGCTGGAACCTTCATGGTTATGGAATTGACTGTGAAGATTCTGCATAATGCAAGTATATATGTTTCTATAAGCGGTGTAGCTTAGCCAGATGCCTGGAGGACCATTTCTAGACATTTGTAAGTTGTAACTTGGGACGCGGTGGATCAGTGGCTAAGATGCTGAGCTTATCGATCAGAAGGTCAGCAGTTCAGTGATTCGAATCCCTACACGTTATGCTGTGTAATGGAGTGAGCTCCCATTACTTGTCCCGGCTTCTGCCAAACTAGCAGTTTGAAAGCATGTAAAAATGCAAGTAGAAAAATAGGAACCATCTTTGGTGGGACGGTAACAGCATTCTGTGCACCTTTGGGGCTTAATCATGCCGGCCACATGACCACGGAGTCGTCTTCGGACAGTGTTGGCTCTTTGGCTTTGAAACAGAGATGAGCACTGCCCCCTAGAGTTGGAATGACCAGCACATATGTGCGAGGGGAACCTTTACCTTTAATGAATTCATACTTTGAGGAAATCCCAGGTCTTTTAACTTGGTTGGACATCTTATTTAGATTACATCAGCTAGCCAGGATTCTTAAATTAGGCATTTCTTCAATGAATTAACTTTCTGCAAATCCTTCAAATGTGATACTACTTACCAGCGCGCACATCACACCGGCTTGGGATATGAAAGTCTGATGCTTTGGTTACTCAATATTTATCAGGCGCTAGTTAATAACAACTTTACAACAGATTCATTCTCGGGAGTTTCTTGATTCCTTAAATCTCATTTGCCAGGTGCTTTGACATTTAAAACTATTCTTGCAAGGGCAAATGAGGAAATCAATGAAGTGTTCACCAAACTAATACAAATGTAGTAGCTTGGGCTTTTGAGGAGGAGAAAAAAAAATGCTAAGATGACTTATCTTTTAAAACAATCACATTTGCTCTGCAGTATGGGTTGGATTTTGAAATGAGTTGTTCAATGTTAACAATATTGGTTTTTTATTAACCCTTCTTGGAGCTTTTCAAAAATCGAAGCTATGATGTTTATTGGACTTCATAATGTTCAGAGGAGAGTCACATCCTATTTTTAACTGGGGCATTGGCTCCTGTTAAGGTGGAAGGCAATGTCAAAGTACCAGGTAAATCAGGAGATTCAGGCTGCTCAAATGAGCATAAAGATTTATTGCAAGCTTAAACTCTCTACAAGAATCTGGCCAACTAACAGTCAAAGGAAATGAGCGAGAGATAAGAAAGTCATTCAAGGTTGGCTGGCTTAGATCTCTTGTGGGTGCACACGGATTTGTGACTTATGACGCGTTTGACCTCTCCCTCAGGTTCAGCCTGGCCATCTCCTATAGGTGGTGAGAAGCATTAAATTCAGAGTTTTTGAGATCCAATATGTGGGGTATAATGCTAATACTGTTAGCTAAAAGTATATGATGTGATTATGCAAACAGACTAATGTAAATTATAGATGATGTAGGTTTGGATCGAACAGACTTTCAGATTTAATGGACGTCCTCTCCCTCAATAGTCTGTTAAATCAAGATTTTAATGCCTTGCATAATTTTTGAAAGTATTTTAAGGTGGGTTTTTTTCCCCTATGCATCGAATCCTAAAATAAAGGTTTTGTTAAAAAAAATATGTAACTTATGCAATAATATTGGCAAAATTTGGACAAGTGTGAATACCAAAATGTTAGTGTTTCAGTAGGTGTGTTGAAAAATAGATTCAGTGGATATGCTCAAAAATAGTAAAATGAATATCCGGTAACCATAATCCAGCATTAAAAACATGAGGGGAAAAAATGAAGCCATTTCCAAAGTCAAACAAAAATGTTTTAATACTGTAGTTTTTTAGCAAGAACATTTTAACAAAGAATGTGTACTTTTAACTTAATATGATACAACAGAGAAACTATATTTTAAAGTTTCCATTATCTAACATCCTACCATATGTTCATCCTTCCTTTGTCCCCTGGTGTGAAAAGACTAAAAACCAAGCAGAACTGAGTTATTTTTTTCTTTAAAAAAGCATCAGTTTTATAATCCCCTTGTTACATTGAATATTGGAATTTAGTTCACACTTTTTTTTTAGTTGGTCATCCAAGGAAGGACAATTTTTACATTATCATATTAAAAAATGTACATACTTTTTCTCTTCAAAACGCAATATATATTGAGTTTTTCAGCTTCAGTAAACAAAGCTTAAATTTATAAACAGAACTGAAACAGTTCTGGGTTGAACTGTTTTAGTGATAAAACTGGACATGTAGAATTATACAGCCAGAAAGAACAACTGCAGCTTATTAAATTAATTGTGCCATTGTTAAACAGTCGAACAGCCATCCTCAACCTGGCTCAATTTCACGTACACTCCCATTGAGTTTTGGGATCTGGGGTCCCAACACCTCTGGAAGGTGACAAGTTGGGGTAACGCTTGGGGGCTGTTACTCACCGTAACAAACCACGATGACAACAACACGTGTCCTAACCTCATTTGCAAAACCAAGGTGAATACGTAACGGTGTCGTGATGACGATGCAGGCAATTTGCATCATGACATCATAACAGGTGTGTCATCGTCAACCTTGCTCCTCTCCTACAGAGGCAATATTTTTCCCCAGGGACTCATACCTATATGTGCTTAAAAAAAGGCTAGGATGGACTCTTCCCCATTCTGTTTTTCTAGGACTTAAAAACATTCTGCTGCAAAACAGTTTGGGATGGCCAAGCTTGTGAGTCTCCACATTTCTCAGTGAGGGTGCAGTGATTTTTTCTTTTTCCAACACAGGAGTTGAGTTAAGAGTCCTGGATTCACGGGTCTGCATTGCAACTGTTTCCCACCGCACCGAAAGGTAATCCAGGGTTGAAAAAGAGACTTCTTTGCAGGAGTTTTCTAAATCTTCAGAAGTGACTGTTACATGTCCCCCGCCCCTCCCCCGCCCCACACAAACATGTCAAATTAGGCATCTTCAGTACATAATGGTTGGTTTGATGTATGCTCTGTTTTCTGGAAAAGAAGAAGAAAAAGAAATATTGCCATTCCGGCGTCTTTACCTGAGGTTCTCGAAAGCTGGAATGGAAATCTGTTTTTAGGAAGATGACATAGACTTGGTGGGGGGGGGGGTGTCTCCCAACTTTGGCCACTTTAAGATTTGTGGACTTCAACTCCCAGGATTCCTCAGCCAGTTTTGCCAGCTGAGGAATTCTGGGAGTTGAAGTCCAGAAGTCTTAAAGTTGCCAAGGTTGGAGACCCATGACATAGAAAAACAGCTGGCGTCAAGGCTAATACCAGGTAGTCCTCGACTTATGACCATAATGGAGCCCAACATTTTTGTTGCTAAGTGAGACATTTGTTGAGTGAGTTTGGCCCCATTTTACGGCTTTTCTTGCCACTGTTCTTAACACTGCAATTGTTAAGTAAGTAAGATGGTTGTGAAGTGGAAATTAAAGACAAAGGAGAAACAGAGTATTATTTAATATGGGATATGGGATATAATTGGTTAGATAATAGATGCAAACATTAGAAAAGCAAGGATGAAAGAGGATTAACAAACCAGAAAAAAATATAGGTACAAGACTAGAGAAAAGAATATTTACGGTAAGTAACACTACGCCCACCCAGACTGTATAAAAGTGTAAATTAAAATATACAGAATGATAAGTATACAGAGAACTATGTTAGAACTATGGAAACAATAGATATAAATATGATACTGTATGAATATGTATGTATGAATAACAGATAAATGGTCGGAACGAGGAGGTATAATACTATATATACACCACGTTTCCCCAAAAATAAGACAGGGGCTTATTTTCTTTTGAACCCCAAATTAAGCGCTTGGCCTCATTTTTGGGGAGGTCTTATTATTTTTGAGGTGCAGGAGGTGGAGAGCGTGGTCACCTCATGGCTGCTGTTGTGTTGCAATATTTTTGAGGGAGGGATTATTTTAGCACATGCGCTCAACAGCCCGATTGAGCTTATTATCCAGGGATGTCTTATTTTCAGGGAAACAGGGTATTATATATTGTAAATCACGTGACCATGGGAATGCAGCAATGGTTGTTAAGTGTGAAAAATGGTCATAAGTCGCTTTTGCCAGTGCTGTGGTAACTTTGAATGGTCACTAAGTGAACCGTTGTAAGTCGAGGACTACCTGTTTATTCTGGTGTGCCTCTTTGTAGCCTGACTTAGAGCACAATGTGGTAAATATATACTGGCAATCTCATATTAGAAGATAACAAGTTCTCAGTGGATGCTGAGAACAAGGCAATCCAAGCCAAATCAAGAGATGCTTATTTCTTTTGTTCAAAATAAAGATGATCTTTCATAAGCCCTGGTGGCACAGTGGTTAAAGTGCAGTATTGCAGACAAACTCTGATCACAGACAGGAGTTCAATCCNCCATCCATCCATCCATCCATCCATCCATCTGTTTAGAATGCAGTATTGCAGGCTAACTCTGCAAACTGCCAGCAGTTCGATTCTGATCTGCTCAAGATTGACTCAGCCTTCCCTCCTTCCGAGGCAGGTAAAATGAGGACCCGGATCGTTGGGGGTGATATGCTGACTCTGACAACCACTTAGAGAGGGGTGTGAAGCGGTAAATAAGTCTAAGTGCTACTGCTTTTGCTATACCCCACCTTGAATGTCTGAGTAAAAGTCGGGGGTATAAACTGGAAGAACGAATTATGAACTCAAGTCAACGTTTAATACTTTTGCCCCAGACCCATCTATTTCAATATTCTGTCTTCACAGTGGCTCATCAGACCTATGCTTACATAGAAACCAAGACATCACAACTGTTTTCCCGATTGTGTTCCCAGTGATGATTCTGCAGAAATCCAGAGACTCAGTTTGTCACATGTAGTATGTCAAGTTTCTCCTGTGATTTCCCTCCCACAACCCATTCTCGTCCAATTAGACAGAAGATAATTTGACTGCCAACTTTCTTTCAAAGGAAGTGAGAATTTGAGGTGGAATGCAGAGTCTGTGCACTTATCATGTGATGAAGTAAGTCTATAATCTGTGCAAATGGCCAATCTTTTCATTATACAACCACCATGCTGGTGATTTGTAGCTCCGTCAGCTTCAATTGTTTAATTAAATCCCGAGACCTGAGGAAGCAGCTCCTCCGCAGAGGTTTCTCCAGCTGAGAAGAGTCGATTGCAAAAAAAGTTCAGAGTAATGGAAAAATGTGACAAAGAAAACAACGGTAATCGTAATTGTCTTTGCCACTCCTACAGTAAACTGAGCTAGGAAAAACAACAGCCATCAAGAGGAATTAGAAACCATTTCTCAAATGTCCCAGGAACAAACAGGAAAGTTTTATTTACAAGGCCTTTTTGCCAAGGGTCAAGCTTGCCCGATTGACACGATGATTGCCAGATCCCAATCATATGACTAGGGGTCACGGTGGCTCAGTGGCTAAGACGCTGAGCTTGTCGATCAGAAAGGTCAGTAGTTCGGTGGTTCGAATCCCTAGCGCCGCTTAACAGAGTGAGCTCCCGTTACTTGTCCCAGCTTCTGCCAACCTAGCAGTTCGAAAAGACGTAAAAAAATGCAAGTAGAATAATAGGGACCACCTTTGGAGGGAAGATAACAGCGTTCCGTGCGCCTTTGGCGTTTAGTCATACTGGCCACATGACCACAGAGACGTCTTCAGACAGCGCTGGCTCTTCAGCTTTGAAATGGAGATGAGCACNGAACCGCCGAACTTTCTGATGGACAAGCTCAGCATCTTAGCCACTGAGCCACCCTGTCCCCATGAACAGGTGTCAAACAAACAGTCATAAGTCAACAGTCTGCACAGTCATACCTGTGCAGAAATATTGCAAAATATTGCAAGTTCAATTCAATTGTTTTATTCTGGTCGCAGACTAGAATAAATATTAAAACACCGAAGTAAAACAGGACGAAACAAGGCATAATGGTAGACTGCAATTAATGGTGGAATCATTGATAAGTGAGCAGAGTCCGCCTAATTTTACAGGCAACGGAACAGAATTCAGCTATGTTAGCTAGAGAAACTGTAGTCTACATATTTGACAGGAAGAATGATATGTAGAAGAGATCAGAATTTCCTGGACATTCTGTCAGGTAAGTGGTTATATTTTGCCAGAGGGCAGGATAAAAAGCAATGGATGGAAACTAATCAAGGAGAGAAGCAACCTGGAATTAAGGAGAAACTTCCTAACAGTGAACAGAAGTTGCCTTCAGAAGTTTTGGGTGCTCCATCACTGGAGGTTTTTAAGAAGAGACTGGACAGCCACTTTCTGAAATGGTATAGGGACTCCTGCTTGAGCAGGGGGCTGGACTAGAAGACCTCCAAGGTCCCTTCCAGCTCTACTCTGATTGAAGGAGTTATGAGTCCGGGGGTCCTTCCTTATAGAGGGTGCAAAATAACAGGGCATGAGTTGTGATTTCAAGGGCCCCTTGTCCACTGGGACACAATCTCAACCCATATGGAGCTTTTTTGGGATCGGCTGCTATGAGGAGGGCATTACAACATCCTAGAGTTAGATCCTTTAAAATTTAGAGACAGATGATATAAATATCTTGGTGGTTTATGGAGGGGGCTATGCCTGCTCAAGAAAACATTATTGAGTAGAGCAGAAGGGACTATTGGAACTTCCTGATCTTTAATACCCTGTTGAAATGCACTGTTCACATTCCTAGCCCAAGATGTTTATTGGAATGTAATTATCAATATAATGTGTGCTCAAATGCTGAAATACACCATGTAAATTAATTGGAGAGAGTGGAAGGGAAAGGTAGAGGTAAGGAGAAAGAAAGGAGACAGGAGAGAGGGAAATAGAAGGGAGAAGAGAGGTAGGAGAGAAAGAAGGAGTGGAAAGAGGAGAGAAGAGAAGGAGAGAAGAAGCGGAAGTAGAGAAGAGAGGGATGGCAGAGGGAAGAAAGGAGGTAGGGAGGAAGAGAGAGGGAGAGGAGATAGGACGGCGATGAAATAGGGCATAATATAGTGTATTGAAAGCCGAAGAGCAAATGACAGCTGTTCTGGGTTGAGGGAAGGATATAATAATGGACAAAAAATATGTTCAGATGTAATGGTATACCTATGGTTATATGGATGAAATTAAAATAAAATAAAAAGCTTCTTTTTTTAAAAAAAAAGTTCACGTTCATAGCTCATTGATGGGGATTCTTGTTAGGAGAGACCAAAATGTTGGAGTTTCAGTGATTAAATTTTAACCCATGTTGATTTTTAATTGTCCTCCATAAGGAGAGGGCTTATCGTGCTGTATCATGCTGGCACAATGTGGCATGGACATCCCTCCAATACAGCATGGGATACATCCTGGAAGACCACATACCTTGCATTGCCGCGTTCTCATGTTGAGTCCCGTTGTGGTCAACTTCCATTTCCGGAATCCCAGCATCTGCCAAGCATAACATTCATATCACTGTCCAACATGAAATGCAGAGAATGTAATCATATTGGAAGATTTGCTAATAGCATTTAAGACTTATATACCACTTCACAGTGCTTTTACAGCCCTCTCTAAGCGGTTTACAGAGTCAGCCTATTGCCCCCAACAATCTGGGTCCTCATTTTACCGACCTCAGAAGGATGGAAGCAGTGGTGGGTTTCAAAAAAATTTCGAACCTACTCTGTGGGTGTGGCCTCCTTTGT